ACACTTGTACAATGCTCCGTTGATGAGGCAGTGGAGAAGTAGGCACTTCCGTACAGTAGAAGTATCAGTTTTATAATACCTGTGGGAGATAATTTGGCAACATCTATAAAACTGCAATGTCGGGGGCCAGGGAGCTGGCTCAGTAGAATAAGCACTTCGCTGGCAAGTGCAAGGGCCTGAGTTCAATCCCTGGTTCAAACAAAACAAAACAAAACAAAACAAAACAAAACAAAACAAAACAAAACAAAACACCACTGCAATGTCACCTTTAAGAATCAATGTTAAAGATTTGTGCAAAATGGCACAAAGCTTCTCATCTGACATCATTATTACATATCTAGTACAGGGTCTACAGGGTCTCACTATCTAGATCAGATCCTCCTGTTCTCAGCCCCCAAGTGCTGGAATTACAGGCGCATGCCACCACGCCCAGTCTCAGTGGCTGTCTCAGCATGCCCCAGGGGTGGGGCCAGCACGGCATGCCAGGGATCAAGCCCTGGTCCCTGCACTCTGCCTGAGCAGGCGCTTCAACCCACCGAGCTATCTGGCCAGCCCCTGTATGACATTACTGTAAAAGTGAGATGAGCTAGCATCCATCAGTAAGAAACACATGATGTAGTATTGAAATGCTGCGCAGCTTTATAAAAGTGAGCGTCCTACTAACACGGAGACGCTCCAGTATGCAACAGTAATCAAGAGTGAGGCAGAGCCAGGTACACATGCTACCGTGTATGTAGAACACAGGCTAAGTGTGAGCACGAACATTCATGTCGGCCCTGCTGTGGGAAGCACTGCTGACACACAAGAAGCCACACATAATGCATGCCCTTAATATATAAAGAGTTCCTAAAAAGAAAGAGTTCCTAGAAATCAGTAAGGAAGGATTTCTTACAAAGGATATAGAAAAACCAGCAGAGAAACACACGGTTGGAAAGCAGACTTTATACTAAGCACCTCTCTGTGTTTTTTGACTTCTAAGCTATGAATTAGAAATCACTCAACAATTTTTTAAAAATGGAATATTAGAGAGTAAAATCCCTTAACAGAACTTTCTTCTATGCTTCAGGCCTTACATAACAAATGCTGCATGGGCTCCCTTTGCCTTCAGAGATGAGTCACCTTGGACAGGACGCACGAAGCAGCCTAAATGGGACAGGGTGGTGGGGTGGCGATGGGGGTGGGGCATGTGCTAATGGGCGAGGTCGGCAGGCTGGTTCCCTCACTACTAAGTATATTTCCTCCCAGTAGGAGCCCCTTTGAACCCGTGTCCTGAACCTGTCCACTCGGCTCTGTGAGCCTCTTCAAAAGCAATACCCTGGAAGCCTGAGTGGTCATTCCCACAGCATCCCTCAGGCCACTTCTGTACCACGTCCCCAGGACGCTGTAGGCCACAGTGTGAAGGGTGATGTTGGGCACATCCAGACATGGTTCTTACACAGTAAACCCAGGCAACAGGCGCTGGACCCACATGGCTCACAGAAGCGTTCAGTGGCCACGCGTGTGGAAGCGTGTCTGAGCAAGTCACCTCCCACATGAAGCAGACCAAACTCATGGGGGCAGGGCCTAAAGGCTTGGCTGGCAGAAAGCTTCTACTTGCTCCGCATTTCTGGAGCATCTCAGCCCTGCAAAGCAGTTTTAATCCTGAGCATTTCCAACCTGCTCTATACCTCCCTCAAACAGGGAACAACCAGACAGGAAAAAGAGGGGCACTGCCACGTCACTTAGTGGCTTTTGGAAACTGCTAATCAGGGCAGGGGCTCCAAGCGCTCCAACTGCGCTGGTGCTCAGGTCCTGCCCCCTGGTGTTCTGAGCCCTCTACCTGGGTGTTGCTTGCACCCCGTATCTATACTGGGCCCTGCTCACCCTAAGCTGGTATCCCTGTCCCCAGAAGGGACCCTGCCTCTCAGGGTGCTGAGGATTCATGTTGGTAATCCCTGCCCCTTTCACTGTGATAACACTGGCAGCACTGCTGCCAGTGTCCCCCTGGACTCCATGCCGCCTGCTCCCCAAGTCAGTGACGTGGTCCCCTTTCAGCCCCCTCGACCGCCTGTGGCTGCTGCTGTCTTTTATTCCTTCTCTTGCTAGAGACAGCTACTGGCCTTGGGATCCTGGCAGCCCTCCTGGGGATCTTGCTGGCTTCCACCCTCTCCTGCACCCACCAGGCCCCTGCAGCTCCCCTTCGTCCCCTGGTCATCACTGTGGCCCCTTGAATGGAGCTGCTGCTGACGCCTGGGAGCAGCAGGGACTTGGACCTCCCTTTCACCTGCTCCCACTGGAACCCTGACAGGTGGGCAGCTGGACTGGCAGAGACGGATCCAGCTGCAGTTGAGGCAGCAACGCCCTAGCTAAGCTCAGGGGGCAGCAGCTGCAGGAGGCAGCAGTGATTTTCTCTAGAAGTGCATGAAGCGCAGCTACTGCAGGAAAATGCAAGGTGAGACTGAGCAGGAAATGACACCCTCTCCACGGCCCCAGGGGCGGTAGAAGGGAGCCAAACTCCCACAAAGGTCCCCGAGACACATGTGGACTCTCCCACCTCAGACTTCTGGCTCCTGTCCAGCTCAGCCCTTGGGAACAGCACCCTGGTCAGTTACAGGGGTGACTCCTCAGTGCCCTGGAGTCACAGGGAAAGCAACATAAGGAAAACAGTGGCAGTCAGAACTGGGGAGTCCCTGCTTTGGAAAAACTGTGAGATTAGGTGTGACTCTGGACTGGAAAAGTGGCCCAGGAATGATGGTGTGCAGTGGCACAAGCTGGGTCACTATGCTGCTTCTCGGGGGGCCATGGGGTGTGCTACAGGCTCCCCAGGAACAGGCAGGGGTGAGGAGAGCAATTGGGTTGTGCCCACTGCGGGAGAGTGCAAGACCCACCACTCAGGGCTCTCCACACCACAGACAGGACCAGAGCAGGAGGGAGCACACCATTCCATCTGCTGGCTCAGGCCCCAGGTGAGGCTTACACCTTGCTGTCTGCTGCACTGCTGTGTGCAGCAGCTACAGGTCACAAGCAAACGTCCTGCTCATTCCTCAGGCGCCCTACACATCCCCCAGTCCCCAGCCCCATTCATGCACATGGCAGGCCAAGCCAGAAGTCATTAGATTTTGTTCTACTGATAAGTAATGAAGTGCTACCTGCTTTAGTACAGCAAGACACTGGATTCAACGCCTGTCCCAAGCCTTGGGGCCGAAAGGCTGGCACCAGACCTGAGAGCTGTGGGGCTGTGAATGGGACCAGTGCCCAGGTCCTCTCCTGCAGGAGGCTCTGTTTCCTCACTGTCTGACCACTTAGTGGTGTCCATCTCAGCATGTCAGAGGGAAGATTTGTTCAAGTACACGAGCAATGCCTGGGGTTACCACCTGCACTGTGCCACACTGCATGGAGAAGAGTACAAAGCCCCTACACCACTGCTGCACGCTTGTATAAAACTACACTCAAACCGAGTGGGTTGGAGGGGCAAGCCCGTGGGCACCAGACCAGCTTGGCCCGCTTACCTATAGCCTTCTGGCCACAGTGGCAGTGACCTGAACCTGGCACCCGGCCCAGGACAGTGTGGCACGATGGGCCTGGGCACCGACCCCTCCTCTCGCACCCATGAAGTGGCACTCAGATTGCCTCCTTCAAGACAGAAGACAGCAGGACAAGCAGCCTGCCTGTCATTCCACCAACGTGGCTGTCGCCATTCAGCTCTGCGGGGTGATCAGCTCTAGGTCTTTATGCCTAAGTTTCTACCCTTATAAGTGAATTTAATAACACTCTCTCCGAAGGTATTCGCAGATGTGAGCAATTAAGATTGCAAAATGCTTTGAAAATAAATGAGCCTACCGAAAAGGTGGTATTTAATATTTATAATGATAAGTCTGTGCTTACAGGCTTCATAAACTATAATCACTGGTATAAGGCTTAGTTTTATGACGTTTTTTGAACTTAACATAAAATATTTTTATTATAAAGTAATTAAATGACGTGTTAACATGCTTCCTGAATGCATCCAGGGTTATATTTGGAAAAAAATGAGATGTGATCACAGATGCACTTTCAACGGTCTCTGGTGACTTCACACTAGTACTGTGTCACCCGCAGTCCCTGGGAAATCCAGAGGTGGGAACCACAAGAAGACTGACTCGGGTCTTCCTCCAAAGCTCGCGGACATGCAAGTGGCACAGTGACTTACTCTTATTAAGACTATTTAGTATGCTATAAACCCAACCACAACCATTCCCTTCCACCCAGTGTAGCTTCCTCTGGCAGCCTGGGGGGGCCGCGCAAATGGGCCCTCACACGTCTGGCAGACGGCCCTGCTCCCTTCTCCACAGCAGCGCTGGCATACTTCCAGCGATGCCAAGGGAATGCACTGTGCCTTGGGAAGATGAGCTGTTGGGACAGTCTCCACACTGATCTGCAGCCTGCCTGGCCCTCTGCAGGAGCTCAGTGCGGTTTCTTAAACAAAGGGCTTTCCCTCCAGCAAGCGGATGGATCTACAAAGGACCATGGTCTGATGACAATGACCCGGGCCGCCCTCATCTTTCATGACCACCAGAGGCCATGTTACTGACCCATTCCACGGCTCTTCTGCCACAGCGCACCTGCAGACCCAGGCTTCCCTCAGATGGGAGAAGATTTAGATGTCTGTCCTCACCTTTCATGAGCACATAAATAAACGTGTGGAAGTCTCACTTGTCAGGTGAGGGTGATGTCCCACTGTCCTCTGGCCCAATGGTTCACTTTTCCCATGTAAGGGAACCTGACTTCTATCATCCACAGCCTACGGAGAAAGGGCAGAATATATTTTCCCTGAAAGGATGATCCTGAAGCCACTTGCCTTCCCACAGCCTTTCATCTTCCTCATAAGCTACTCTCTCCTGCAGGCCAACCTAGGGCATTGCTGAACGAAGAGCGCCACCCCATGTCTTACCAGAGGGAACGCAAGTGCGAGCGCGTGCCCTCCCTTGGCAGAGGCCTCTGCAGCACTGTGCCCCAGGAATCCAAACCCATCTGCGAGAGCAGCTTCTCCAAACTGGTAAAAAAAAAGCCAATGTGCATGAGCCCCCAGCAGCACTCTGCTTAGCCGGGGACCCATTTCCACTGACGGCTGTGTCCCGACAGCTACACGCAGACGTACCAGTTGCAGACACCCGGCACCTGCCTGATTCAGGTGTGAGCAGACAGCAGGACTGCCAGGCACCAGGGGTGCGCAGCCATGGCTCAACAGGCACTCCTCAGCAGAACCACTAGCTGCGCTGGCCTGGACCTGAGGTGAGGACACAGGACTGGCTGCTGCTCCCCGACCAAAGCTGTGCAGGAGCTCAGACAAGTCAAAGGTGCACAAAGGTAATTCGGTTGCTTCTGTGAGAGAAACCAGCATCCTCTGGACATACTCCGGAGATCCGAGTAATTTCTTTGCAGCATATGTGACCGTCCGGTAAGAGCTAGCATTTACAGGTCTCTGAGGGACCAGGGAAGCGTTCCCAAGCACTGCCTCACTGTATCCGACATCAGTCTAGCCAGCTAGCTGCTGTCTTTACCAGCGCTTTGCTGACTGCCAGGAGTTAGCAAGCTGTGAACCTAGTAAACCATGATGCCACAAGCTCTGCCAGGGTGTGGCTAGCCCGTGGGCCTGGGACTACCCCAGGCTTACCTTGTGCTACCACTTCCTGCACAGCTGGCTCCTTGAGCAGCCAGTGTCCTGGGGCTGTAAGTGGCAGAGATGTGAGGATCTGCTGAAAGGACCCACTTCGGGGAAAACCCAGAGGAGGGAGCTCGGGGCACAGGCTGAGGAGGGCGAGCGCAGATGGCTCAGGCTCATTGTCTGCCTAAGTTTTCCTCTCACTTCTTTTTCACACAGGATCTCAGTATGTGGCTCCAGCCGTGAAAGCTTCCTGGTGCGGGGACTGTACCTCGGTGCCAGCACAACTGGTTTCTGACCACCGTTTCCTCTGAAGACCTAGCCAGACGTGGACAGCAGGGCTGTGGTCTAAAGTCAGGTCAGGCCTTATCTGTGCGTTCAGTGACGGTCGAGGGCCTGGCGCATAGCGCACCCAACAGTGTTAGTGTAAGATGAACCAGCACACAGCTCAGCTGGCTTATCTTCCAATGAGCTCCAAAGCAAGCAAGTCCGGGTCCTGCGCAAAGTCGGAATGCTTGGCCTCCCCCACAAGCCACCCGCACAGTGCTTATCAGATGTGTTGGGTGACAGGCTTCATTTCTGGCAGGAAACACTAATTAATGTGCTAATTGTGCTGGAAACTGTCTTCTTCAGAGGAAAATCACAATGTTGCAGCCCTCATACTAACAACAGAAAATCAGCTAGTAACTAACAAATAAGGCTCAGGCAAGAATCAGAATCAGCTGCTAAAATGGGAGTGTGTGATGGAAAGAACATTTAAGTGGTTTGGACACCAAATCACACCTTAGTTGGGGGACACAAGGGGGAGACATCGTTTAGCCAAAAAGTAGCCCTTTCCTTTCAAATGTGGCTTCACGCCACATGATGGGAGCAAAGGCATTATTGCACCTCCACCGGAATACACCAAGGACAACATACTGCATGGGCGCAGCCTATGCCACCGGGTGAAGAAATGGGAGGCAGGCGGCACCGATCATGGCGTCCTGTGCGTGGGCACCATCCCTGAGGACCAGGCATCACGTGCGTCTCATCCGCCCCCAAGCCAGTGCACTGAAGACCCAGCACCACATGTAAGTCATGGGCTCCTAATGCAGACACCACGCACAGGTCTTGCATCCTGAGGGAACAGCGCCTGGCATCATGTGCGTGGCAGTCATGCGTCCCTGAGGCAGCATGCCAAGGACCTGGCTCCCGTGTGTACATCACGCATCCCTGTGCAACCTCCACCAAATCTACCCGCCCTGTCCCAGAGGCTGGTCCGGCACAACCACTGGCCACAGTGATTTCTGAGGAGCTGGCATCAGCAACAGGAGCTTTCTATGTACCTGGCTGGGTGAGAAACAGCTGGAACCTTCCTTCACCGATGTTACGAGGACAGGGAGCCAAAACGTGTTTCAGGGACCTGGCTACCACAGAGGCCAGCCAGAATGGCTGCTCAGGAGAGTGCAGCAGAGAGCTGCACAAACACAACTTGACCTTCAAATCTACACCCCCATTGGACAGTCAGTTTACAAGCTCTTAAAATCTGTCTCAGCTTCTGTTACAATCCAAACATCTTGACTTTATAAGTGTTTTCATAAGATTGCTTTACTTGTGGATTTCTTGGATAAATGTATTAACATTTGTTTCTTCTCAGTAAAAGTCCAAATTTTCATCAAAGCTGCATGTGTAAGACCGATGGTTTCTCTCCATTTGTTCTTCTCCGGTCTGGTGTAGGCCTCAAGGTTCTCAGAATATTGCAAGACTGACTTACAGAACCTGTCAAGAGAAGAGGAACTGACCTGTGTCAACACAGTAACACGCAATGTGCATTCAAATGTCTTCTCAACACTCTGGGAATTATTCCTAGAGTTGAGCGTGACTTCATTTTTATCTATGAATTCAGAAAAAGAAATATGGACAAGATGCAGTTACAGAATGCAAATTATAGGAAATATAAAATTGCTGAGAGGGCCATGTCACCAGTACCCGGATGAGATTCTGGAGGTTTTATATAAAAGCAGCACCTTTTCATACACACTCTCAAATCCAGCCATGAGACTTTTAAGTGACAGAATGCAACCCCAGAAAGGACCTCCACACCAGACTAACCCAGACAGGCACTCAGTCCACACATGGATGCAGGCGCTGGCCTGGCCTGGCCTGCGAAGACATCTGCATGCCTGCACACACCCCCCGCCGTGAGAGGGCCTCCCACAGCCACCCAAGCCACTGTGAGACAGTCAGGCCTTAGAGGAGTCTCTCCCTGAAGGGGCCTCAGGACGACTGCAAGTTATCTGTTAACTAGTAAGAGTGCCATTCTCACTTTCCCAAAGCTCAAACTTGAGAGTTATAGTAACAACACACTGAACCACAAACCACAGGACCCTCATTTAGGGGAGTGGGACTTGGTCTTGGGGAGTGGGCAGTTCTGTCCTCAGGACTGCTAGCCATGCCTAACCCACTTCTGCTGCCACAGCTAGGGGGTGCTACTGGTACATGCCGGTGGAAGCCAGGGCTGTGGCAGTGTGCAGGCACTCCCACCAGAGAAGGCACACCTGGAGCACCAAAGGTGCTCAGCTGAGAGCCTCCTCCATGGAGGACACCGCACCCTCCTTGGGCGTAGTGTCCATCCAATGCTGCAGTTGTGTTTTCCCGCTCATCTGAAATTTGCAGCGATATGCCTCCCACCTACAAAGCATTAGCTCAGGCCAGGGTGGCGAACTAGGGCACGCGTGCCACAGCTGACTATCTGTATCACTGAAAGCTCTAAAAGGTTCGCCATCACTGCTTTAGACCAACAAGGACATCAAGAACTTCCAGAATGTGGGACAAGGTTTCCATGACAGCAGCTACACCTAAGCACAGGGGGCTCCGTGGGCTGGTCTGTCTGAGGGCTGCTCAGCTGTGGACCTCTGGGTTCATGTGAAGTGGGTGACACAGGGGTTATCCGCTTATGGATCCCTGGGTCTGCATACCGTTCCTCCCGCATTGGAAGTGATTAGTTGTACACAACAAATCTGGTTGGACCTGAGCCATCTGGACTCAGCAGGGTCTGCTCCGCGGCCCAGGCTGCAGGCCTCAGCCCAAGACAGTTGATGTTGCCCTCAAGGGGCTCAGACTGTACCTCAGGTCTGCTGACACCACCTCCCAAGGCTCACGCAGTCTGTACCCGAGTGCCACGTAACTGCGGAAATCTGGAAGGTTCCCATGTAACCTATACCCATTTTGAGAAATATGCCCATGTGGGTACCAGTCTCAAATGCCCACAAACTTCCAGAGCTAGCTCGGTGGCTTAAGAGTCTGCGTGGCAAGCACAAGGCCCTGAGTTTGATCCCTGGTACCACATAAAGAAAAAAAATCCAATGTCCAGAAACTTACCAGCACCGAGACCACAAAGGTCGGCTACGACCCACCAGAATCTGTGCAGCTGTGTGTGGGAAGGGTGTTTAAAACATTTCCACAGGCTATTGATTAGGGGTGGAAATTATTTAAAAATTATTGACACATGCTTTCTGGCAAACATCACATACTCACTTCAGATACTGCTGATATTCACAAGTATTTTTTCCATGGACAGAATGAACGCTGACCAATTCTAGTGCAACGAGCAACAAGATCAGGTAAAGCGCAGGAGACAGAAGCCTAACACTGGAAACAGACACAGGGCAATGAAAGTCTGGCAAACACAAACACCTCCCCCCACCAAAATCACTGTGGAGCATCCGGAAGGCCACGCGCCCAGATGTGGTCTCCAGACCCCAGGCACTGGGCACTGGCCTTCCACCCACCCTCACCAGTCTGTGCACCAGGGCAGCGGGTCCACAGCCTGACCCAGCCCCATCTCTGGCCCGAGGCCAGCCTGCACTTCACAGCCCAGCCAGGACAAGGGCTCACCGAGGCTCCCAGTCCTCAGCACAGCTTACACTACCTGAAGCTCAGTAAAGAGCTTTTAGAGAAGAGACAAAAGACTTCAACATGAAAGTGTGTTCAATGTCTACTGACTCAGAAAAAGTCTAACGTAAAAATTCAGCTTTCCCCTTAAAACTGGTAAAGATGTTTAAAATTGCTCTGTTTGGGCAGGAAGCGACATAATGGCCTACCTCACCAACCCCAGGAGTATAAGCCAAACCATCTCCAAAAGCAATCCCCCAATTTCTATCACCAGCACAGGGAACCCCACCCACTCAACCCAAATTCTAGAAATTTTCCAAAATGGTCTTTTCTTAGGAGTGTAGCACATTCCAAAATACATGCTGTCAGGTGAAGAAGCAGTAAGGTCCACAAATCCAACTTTAGGGGGCTGGAGAGATGGCTCAGTGGTCTAAGGCACCTACTTAGAACAAGCTTGGCAAAGCATCAGGGACCGCGGTTCAATCCCCCAGCACCACATGCCAGCCAGCCCCGCCCCCTGGTGGGCTGAGCTGGCCACACACACACACTCTCTCTCTCTCAAATAAATAAAAATAAAAAAAAGTAAAGTTTAAAAAAAAAAAAAACAAAAAACAAATCCAACTTTAGCCGCTAGGCTGTATGGCCACGCATGCGCTTGGGTAGATGCAACCCCTACTTCTGTATACCGAACTCATAAACCGTATTATACAAAGGACGTGCCACCTGAGAAGGGTAGGGGATTACGTCAAGACCAGAACTGCATGCAGCCGCCTCCCACACCTGCCCCAGCCCACCTGGCACGCATGCTCAGGTAGTTCTGTCTCTGCCGGGAGTGCAGCCTCCGCTCCTCCCACTGCCGGTGCCTCAGTTGCAAGGAGCTGGCCACCTGGCGGGATACCTGCTGGCAGTGGGAGGCGACACTGCGGAGCACAGCCAGCACTTCGAGCACAGCCCTGGGGCAGAAAAGCATGGAGACCTGTGTGCTGCAGAGCGCACCGAGCAGCAGGGACCACCTGTGAGAGACAGCAAGGGAAAGGATTTCTCTTCAGGGAAAGAGTCCCATCCCCAGGGCACTGCTGCCAGACCCACGCCCAGATGGGCTGCCCCGCTTGGCACAGGCCAAATTGGGTGGGAGATACATGGTGAGGATTAAACAGTAATGTCGAACTGCAGGAGCAGAACAGTACTGTGTCCCAACAGAGGCACCAGCATGTGCACAGCACCCCAGCCCTATCTGACAATTCTGCCAAGGGCACCACACTGCCACCGAGCTTCTGAAATCTGAAACAGAAAACTGCTAAATGTGCTATCCTTATTTGCTTACTGAGGTTTAACTCTGTCACCTATCTTGCACTCACTCCTCAGCAGGATGGTCATCGAAGACACTGAGAACACGATGATTCTCAGGCACATGGTGACAGAGCTCATGCAAAATTTTTGTAATTAAGGAGTAGCAGGCATTTGTTTCAGTATCTTCCAACCTAAAAACATAAAATATTTAAAGACACACAGTAATAATAAAATGCCTACATTAGTACCTATGCAAAATAATTTACAAACAATAAACTTAAAATTTAGCTTCCCCAAATATAAAGTGAAAATGGATGCTGATGGTATTGTTTTCAAATCTTAAAAAGTAAATTGTCTTTCATTTGCATATTAAAGACAACAGCACTTTGAAATTTATTTTTTTTAGCACTTTGAAAATTTTTTTTTAAATTTTTTTTATTATTATTATTATTTTTTTTAGAGTGTGTGTGTGTGTGTGTGTGTGTGTGTGTGTGGCCAGCTCAGCCCACCAGGGGGCGGGGCTGGCTGGCATGTGGTGCTGGGGGATTGAACCGTGGTCCCTGTGCTTTGCTGAGCTTGTTTTAAGTAGGTGCTTTAGACCACTGAGCCATCTCACCAGCCCCAGCACTTTGAAATTTTTAAAAAATGGAAATGGCCACCATCATAGAGTGGTAAATACATAATATGTGGTGTCCTACGTGGACAGAAGGTGATCTGCAAGTCACCCTAAACCTATTCCCATCACGTAAGTGTGTCTGCTACACCCCCTGATCTGAAATCTGTGCCTCTACCCGCCCTCCGGGGTTCTAGCCCTCTTTGCTCTGTTTGCTGTTGTTTTCAGTGGTACTGCAGAAGGAGCCCAGGGAATCAGCTATGCTAGGCCAAGTCCTTATCCCATCCCTTTTTGAGATAGGGTCTCACTAAATTGCCCAAGTTGGCCTCAAACTTAAATTCTCCAATCTCAGTCTCCCATGCAGCTGGGATTACAGGCACTGCCACCAAGCCAGACTCCTCTCATTCTCTCCCGAGCAGTTCTCTGCAGATGCCATCACCCTCCCCACAGAGCCCTGAGACTTGTGCTGTCTGCAGGTCACAGCCACAGGGCCTCAGGCTCTCCCAGCCTATAGCAGCTCACGGGCCCAACAAGCCCTCTCGCACGGGCCCCAGCATCCTTCCGACACCACAGCAGCTGACAACCTCGAGGGCCACACAGCCCAAGACAGCGTACCTGGCTGCTTCCTGACAGGGTTCTTCTGGCCAAGGCAGCAGAGGCCACTTCCTGACGCTCTCCTCACAGCTCAGCACCTGAGAGGAAGCACAGAGCTGCTTTTAAAGAGTTTACAATATCCCAGAAAACATGTCCCTACCTATAGAGATGTTAAAATGCTTTCTAGAAGGTATTACCTGTAAAATTCTTACAAATCCTATTGCATGTGAAAACCAGATGTAGCTCAGGAATCCAGTGTGTTCCCATGAGGAAGAGTTGCTCCAGCAACAGAGCCCACCTGCCAGATAACTCTGAGGCTGTGAACACAGCCACAATCCTTCGCACACTCTCATCTGAGAGATGGGACCTATATCCTCCCCTGAACTGCAAGTGTGACCAAGAGGATGACAGAGGTGCCCCTGATGTGCTCCTGCTCTGGCTGTCTGTGTCACGCAACTCAGGCAGAGCCTGCTGTGACGCCATATACCAGCTTCTAGCCTACATGGATAGGAACCTGCAGAGCTCAGAAGAACCACAACCCATCACACCAGCTAAAGCCCATGTGACAGGTCTCTTGGCAGAATCTCCTCAAATTTTTGACCCACGATGAGAACAACTAAATGGTAGCTATGGACACCTCTTGATGGATAATAGGTTATGCAGCAGTGATAGCCACAGAAATACCTTATAAAGTATGGGATTATCTACAGCCACAGAAGATGCCATGTAGCACAGGAGGGGGGACCCTGGCCTCAGAAAAGGACTGCAGGGAAAATGAGGGATGCTTGGGTTTCAGAAAAGGATGCCAGGGAGCACGGGAAGAGAGACCCCAGGCTTTGGAAAAGGCCAGCATGGAACACAGGGGGGCTAGCTTTGGCACCCAAACCCAGGAGACCAGGCACATTCTGGCTGGGAGGCCCTCCTCTCCACTTTACTGTGTCAAAGCACTGGTACTGGAGGAAAGTTCTGTCCTTGTAATGACTCCCTGACAAGCACAAAATCATGACAAGGAATACTGGTTATGAGTCCAGTGATGGAACAGCATGCAAACAACACGCTGACTTCAAGGTCTAACACAATATAGTTTTAGCATCATAGTCCAGATCTCCACTCAGGAACCTTAGGAGGAGCACAAAAATTATAGAAGGAATCACTGAACTGTTTTAGTCATAGCATGAACTGTCCCACATCTCTTATGTTTCTGTCTCTTTTTTGAACATGCACACTTTATTGATCCCAGTTGTGGACAGCTGATCAGTGTGTGGGTTGCAGGACAGGACCCAGCCCAAGGCGAGGGAAGCTGTGCAGGGAAGGATATGCAGAACTAGTGGCCCTGAAGGTCAGATATCGCCTTGAACAACTGCACGGAGGTGAAGGCAAACACAACGATGAGGCCAATGGTCAGAGCAATGCTTAAGACCAGGGCACTGATGTTCAGGCACTTGGCGGTGGAGGCGTAGCTCTGAGCCCCGATCACATCACCCACCATCTTCCTGTCCCTAGACTTTATGGAGTAGGCGAAGGCTATGAAGCCCAGGCAGCAGGCGTTCATGAAGATCATGTTGAAGAGGGACCAGACCACATGGTCAGGCACAGCAGTGTCACTACGGATGATGATCACAGTGGACGTTGCGGGAACCAGGTTCTGGGTGGCCCCTAGCACGGCCACCTCATGCTTCTCCCGCATCTTTTCATAGTTTGGGGGGAGGCTGATGTTTGCCTGGAAGAAGATGGTCTGGGCTGTGTGGCTCATGGTGCTGATGCAGGACACACCGTGGGTCGGTTTCTGCCTCTTTTTAATGGTTTTCAAAGTGGTAGTCTTTCCTTTTCCCCAGTCTATCTGGCACTGTGGACAGCACACAACTTCTGTCTGTCAAATGAAAGGCGTCAGAATCATCTGGTTCGGATCTCCTGCTGCATGTCTTTGTCAACAGTTCATTTGTGAAATGTTCACTGGGTTCAAAGAGAAATGCTGAGACGAAGCCCACAGGCCAGCCTGCAGCTGAGAACTTTACCTGGATGTCCTTTCAGTGTTTGGGGACAGGTCATGGTGTTTCTGAACCACCTCACTGAGCAAGTGAACACTCTTCCAAACAGCCAACCGAAATTCAGGAAATCCTTTACGGCCTTTGCTTTCCTCATCTTCGAAGTTGGCCTTTTCTTGCAGCTCCTCTGAAATTCCATCTTCCTATTCAGGCTTCCATTCACACTCTTCTGGGGGTTCATAAGATGTATTAACAAGCTCAAATCGCTTATCAAATAGAGGCTGACAGAGAACAGCATCTTCAAGATCACGAATTCCTCATAGCATTTGGATTCTAACTGTGCATGTCGAACTGAAGGTTTTTGAGAGCAATCACTCTTTTAACTACGAGTTGTCAAGGTCTGCCATGTTGCAGGTAAGGCCAAAAACCAGCGGCTACTGTGGAGTCAAGCAGCCAGAGCTGTGCAGGGAGGGACTCAGGGGCAGTAGCACAGGAGGAGCAGGAAGCGGCCCCATCAGCAGATGGTGCTAAGAAAAAGCCAGCTTACCTGCTTTTTGAGCTGAAACGCTGGATGGCAGCGAGAATGGTAGTCCTCGGCAATCCTCAGCAGCAGCCTTACTGCTGCCTCCTCCTAGTTCAGAAAAAGCAGATAACGTCACAGGTTCTGGTCAGGCTTCTTAATGATAATTTACAATCTTCACTTCTCTTTATCTTTTCTCAGTTACTCTGCAGTAAAACATCATCAAAATAGGTTGGGCCCAGTAGTCAAATCACAGCCACTGCAGATATTCCTAGTTTAACTGTTTGGGCTTACAGCATGGCCCTTCGGACACACAGCCCATCTTTTTGGGATACAGATCTGTACCTCTTGTGTGGACAGCCTCAGTGTCCTTCTTGGTGCAGCACACCTTGCTTAGGCAACACTGTAAGCTCTGCTGACTGCACTGGACAGGGCAGAACTGTAGCTGTTCTGTGGCACATGACGGTCTGCATGTAAGTTATGCAGATACTAGCACGGTCAGCAAGCTGGGGCCTCCTCTGTTCTGAATACTGTACCGTACGTGCTGCACACCATTCCTCATTTATCAACCACTGCATTCAACTGCCCAGTCGCAGGACCAGGACTTGGTCATTAAGCAAAAAATGTCTATGAAATGATTAAGGGCCCCTTAGCAGCAATGACAAATTATGAAGCCCATACCCTCCAGAAAACTGCAAATGCATAAAAACAAAAGACTGCAAACTGTAAAAATTTTATGTGCAATATATCTCATTTTAATTCAACACAACTAAAAGGGACTTATATGGCTAAAACATTTAACTGCCAAATCCTATATCTGTATTTCAGAAAGAATAAAAATAACATTATCTGGAGCTGATATAACTATATAACAGGAAAATAAAAACAGACAAAGGAAAACCAACAGCAACAAAGAGAATGGATAGCTGAACAACTGTAAAAGCAGTAACTACCTGTCCGGAACTCGTAACAGTCCAGAACAAATGACTAAAGTGGTGACAAGTTAGCTTCCAAGGTGCCCACTGTCCTTGTGTCCCTGCAGACAGACCACCCAGGAGCATGCCGTGCAGGTGACGGGCACACGGTACCTCAGGGGATATCCCTGCAGGGCACACAGATTTCAGTGCAGGGTTTCCTAATATTTTGTTAATTAGGTTTAATAATTTGTTCTTTGCTTTTCAACACCATTCTGCTATTAAAAATCAAAGGTCCATATGTAAGAAATGAATTAAATCATTTTCTTTTCAACTGTACTGACTGATACATGTTTCCAACTTGCAAATACTTGTGCAAGGGAAGTATACTGCAGCTCACACAAAAGATGATTTAGAGTTAATTGCATTTGAAACATGAACTATGCGCTGCTTCTGCTGAATGCTGTGGTGCCCGCTGACGCCTGTGCTCCTCATGCAGTACCTTCACGGCGGACAGCACTGCTGCATCAGAGAATCGCAATAGCAGCACAACAGAAAATGCAAGCAACTGGCTCGCTGCCTCCTCTGGAAACTCAGGTAAGTTGACTTCCCCGTGGCTTAAGTGGTCACGAATACGGGGACCCTCCTGATGGTTCAGGAAATCCCAGAGGAATTCCTTTCAGAAAGGGAGAAAAGGTTTCGTTAGTGTTCTAGGCAAGAGAAGGGGACGCATAAGACTCTGAGGAGGGTGGCCCCAACACACTGGGTGGGCCCGGGGAAGGGAGCCTCACGGGAGGCCTCAACTACCCAGGAGCCCATGCTCCCTCCCAGCACCGTGCAGGAGCTGCCAGGGCCAAGTGAAGCCACCTCGGTTACTCTTCCCCACCTCCACAGAGAAGACCTGGCTGTCTACTCTGGAAACAAACTTCTCCAAGGCAGCACAAGAGATGCCGCTCTCATGTGTCTGAGCAGAGGCCTTCTACCACTGTCTCCTCCTCCCTCCTGGCTTGTCTGTGCCCACTTCCATCTTTGAAGCTGATGAGGACAGCCGTTTCTTCCTTTAACAACACCCTCCCTCCTCCTCTTCACACTACAGGGAAAGGAGGTCAGAAAACTTTGGACCTGGGAACACTGCTGGTAGGCAGAGAGACTGAGAGGCTCAAAATAGAGAAGAGTATCAGATGAACTGGTTCAGCCATCTTGCTCTCTGGAGGGAGAATAGAATGTCTAGGGAGCTAAGGAATCTAGGAACCAAACCTAAGTCTGCTAACTCAGAAGGAATAAATACCTACTTGCAGCCCACAACAGTATGCAATAGCTTTATAAAATATAAAAAAATGGCCAGTGAGATAGCTCAGTGGTCTAAAGCTCCTGCTTATGCAAGCTTAGGCAGCTACAGGGGACCGAGATTCAATCCCTGGCACCACGTGCTGTGCCAGCCCTAGACTGAGCCAGCTAAAAACATAAATAAAAATAAATAAATAAATAAAATATTTAAAAAACAACCCTGAGCAATAGAAGATGGCTCAGTGGGGGCTGAGGAGATAGCTCAGTGGACTAAAGAGCCTGCTTAGGCAAGCGCAGGGATCCATGATTCAATCCCCAGCACCACATGGCACGCCAGCCCTGCCCCCAGGGCGGGCTGAGCTGGCCATAGTTGGGGCAGAGTGGCACACGCCTGTAATCCTAATGCTGGGGAAGCTGAAAGCAGGAGGATCACTGCAAGCCCAAGCTGCATAGAGACCCTGTAACAATCAGCACATAAAAAAAGATGGCTCTAAATAATTAAATTTTTTCATCCAATCTTCCATCCTCAATCTTCTTTGTCAAATCTGACAACTGTTACATTTCATCAAGTAAATATACAACTTTCTACAGCACAGACACAAGCAACAAATGCACAAAATGCTTAGGAACAAAGAAGCGAGGTCAGTAGGACTTAAAATAGGATCTAAATTCCCAGCATCAAGCACAGTGCCCCAGATGAGGTGCAGGGCAGCAAGCTCTGTGGCAGAGGATAAGGCTGACACTTGGCAGTGGCTCAGGATTGCTCCTAAGCACAGTCCAGGTTACTCTTATAGAGAAGCACAAATACATTAGCAAGTGTGAGCATCCTGTTTGGGGCCCAGAACTTACCATAGCAGGCTCTCCAAGTAAAACTGGCAGCTGGTTGATTTTACCATCAGTCAAGTGTTTGGCCAGTATCTAGAACACCAAAACTAAATTAAAATAAACACAAAGGGGGCCAGGGAGATGGCTCAGTGGAATAAGCACTTCCCTGGCAAGTGCAAGGGCCTAAGTTCAATACCTGGTTCCACCAAAAAATAAAAAATAAAATAAACACACTGTTAAACTGACACACACTCCCAACATTGTCTTGCTCACAGACACACAAAGGTAAAATACACATGTTCTTAAAGCTATCATACTGATTGCAAAGTTTTTCTGAATGGTAGCTGCTATGATTTTAAGACTGTTCACGCTTCATTTTGTTTGTAACTAACACAGAGGCACTTCCCTATGCATCATCGAAGCTGGCAGCACCTGGGACTTTGCAGCCAAACAGCTCTGACCCAGTTCCAGCCACTGACCCAGTGCAGATGCATCCACTACAACTGTAATTTAATCTTCAAATTTCCAGACAAATCGGTCCCTGAAACAACAGTGAGCACTTACACTACAATGAACCGCCTGCAGGCATGCTTCACTGCAGTCACTTAGGAGTTTCACGGTCATTGTAAAGGGCCCAAAGCCGCATTGCAGCCTTGCCCCTGGCTTTCCCAACAGTTCTGTCACTGCTCAGGCACCAGGGCACACAGTCAGAAGCCCTGCACTCGATGGGCAACACAGACATATTCAACTTTAATTCTTTCCCTTCTAGGTTTCACTTTGGAATCACAACCCCAATGTGCAGATTAAGTATCAGCACATGCTAAAAGCAAACAGCAATAGCTGAGTTAGATGTCACATGCAAAGATAAACAATATTAATCCTAAGCCTAAAATTGTACATCTCTAAGTATAGCCAAAAATGTAAGCATCTTTGATGTTTCCCAATTTTTCAGTTTTGTGTAACTTTAGAAAGTAGAGTATTAGTCTCAAAATTAATCTGAAAGTATAAACATTTCTTGCTTATATTACTATCAGTGTTTTCCTGTAAGTATATGACTTATGATCAATAACTTTGTGTTTCAATTTGTATTTTAATCCTTTTATTTTGTTTTGGTACCAGGGATCGAACTCATGACCTTGCATTTGCCAGGCAGGTGGTTATGCCACTAAACTATCCCTGGCCCTAATTTGTATTTTAAAGACTTCTTATCTTAAGTTGCCTTGTAAGTATACTCACTTCATCCAAGGTAGTATAAAGAGTTGTTGACTGCAGAAAAGGAAGGAAATAAAAAGAAATAGTTAATGCAAAGTGCAATGGAGTAGCACATTTAAAGCAAGGGAACTCTCACAGGCACAGAGCTGAACCCACAAAGCTGGGGGGCAGTGGCAGGGAAAGCATCCGTTACTCTACTCCTCCTCCAGGTAGAGGACCTGGTTGCCCACCTTTGGAAACAAACTTTTTTTTTTCCAACTACAATGCCAATTAATTTTTTTCTACTTTCACGGCTTTATTATGATTTTTTATAGATTGTACATTGTAAATAATTTACCAACTTAAATGAATATAACAATAAAATTTGTCCAAAATAAAAATGAAGAATTTACAGATCAGTCATATAATAGTTCACTCTGTGTCAAAATTAACAAACTTATATTCATATAATTAGAATTCTCAAAGTAGAAAGATGTGGGCAGTAAATATTTAAAGATTTAAAAATTCTGAATTTAGTTGAACCTATAACACATTTCCAAGAAAAATGAACCTTTTGCACAAGAAATTTGAATAAAATCATACCCAGATACACAAAAATGAAACTGTCCAAAACTTATTGTAAAGAAAAAAATCATTAAAGCATATACATAAAAAAAATTAGCCATGGAAGAACAAAATTAAATAGCATCTTATTCCACATCAGAAAGAGAAAAGAAAAAAAAAAAGACTAAGTGTGTAAGAAATTAGAATAATTAAAGGACTGAAAGGAGAAAACAGGTCTGTCCTCTTTGAATTTTATACTTAGCAAACATACCTTTGAAAACTGAAGTAAAATATTTTCCAGTTATACAAACTCGAAATAGTCTAATACCTCCAGATGTAGCATATAAGAAATAACAAAGAGCATAATTCAGAAGGCAAGAGAAGTTGCTGTATGCTCCTAGATGAATAAAAAGCTCTGAAAATGATAGTTATGCAGGACTATGAAAAATATAATAGATGAACCCATTTAAAAGGTCATTAAAGCCAGGGAGATGGCTCAGTAGAAAAAACGCTTCCTTGGCAAGTGCAAGGGCCTGAGTTCAATCCCCGGTTCCACCAAAAAAAAAAAGAAAAAAAAAAAAAAAGAAGAAGAAGAATAAAAGGTCATTAAAGATTTCTATGAAACTATCAATCTTATTCAGGTTATACACACATTTTTTCATATATATGTGTGTGTGTATGTATAAAAGATAGGGAAGAAGTAATATAAAGTCAATAGAAAATGGAAATACACTTTTTAAAGTTTCTAATACTAGGAGAAAATATCATACCATGTCTTTTAAATAGATTTAAGATTGTAATCTTAAAACAAAAATTAAGATTAAGCAATATTCAGAAAATTAAATACTATTTAAAAATTAAATGTTTCAAAACAATTGAACTAAGAAAAAGTTTTCATGATAGTAAAGAATTACTAAGAATAAAAGATAAGGAATGGAATGACAAATAAATGACCAGCACTTCTAACAGTTTGGGGATAGGATATAGCACAAAGTTCTAGCGTGTTGTGGACATGGATAATGTCCATAACACTTACTGGTGGCCAGGTATCACTTGTGGGACTGAGCTACTGCTATTTCCATGAAATCCACCCTGTAGACCCAGGTGGAATCATGACACATATGGTGCAGGAGAAGTCCATTTGTAGAGTATGCTGATGGAAGTATCTTGCTGCTGTATACAAAAGAATAACTGAAAGACTGCTTTTGTATACCTCTTATTCTCCTGTGTTTAATCATTTGCCCTATTTGGTGGGTTCATTCCATTCTCATTCATGGAGTTGTGGTCATTTTGCTTCCTCTCTAGAACATCTTCTAGTGGTCTGTGTATGCTTGGCTTTGTCATCATGAAATTCTTAACTTGTTGTCATGGAAGTATTTCACTTCTCCATTATACTTTAATGAGAGTTTTGCAGGGTATATCAGTCTGGGTTGGAATTTGTTTTCTTGCAAGACTTGAAGTACTTTGCTCTATGCTCTTTTTTGCCTTGATGGTTTGTGAAATCTTCCGATATCCTAATAGGGTTTCCTCTAAATGTGATGTTTCTTTTCTTTAGCGGCTCTTAGTATACTGTTCCTGTGCTGAATTTCTGGGATCTTGATTATTATATCTCTGGGTGTGTTTTTAATTGGGTTGATGTTCTTTGGAGTTCTATATGCTTCAGTTATCTGAATGTCACATATTTGTCAAATATAATTTCCCCATATTTGGGAAGTTTTCTGCTATTGCTTCCATCCAAATTCTTTTTATATCATTTGTATTGACTCCTTCCTTCTCATTGATGCCTACTAGTCTCACGGTGTTCATCTTTGCATTGTCCTGCAGGTATTGAATTATTTTTTCCTGCATCCTAGTTGTTTTTAAAAGATCTTTTCTTACTTTTTCACTAGCACACTGCTAATGCAAGCGCAGGGACCAGGGTTCACTCCCTGGCCAGTTCAGCATGCCACACTGGCCCTGCCCCTGGATGCGAATCAGAGACCAACTCTGGGCGTGGTGACACATGCCTGTAATCCCAGTGCTGGGGAGGCTGAAAACAGGAGGATCACTACGAGTCCAAGCTGCGTGGTGAGATCCTGCACCAAATCCATTAAAAAAAAAAAAAAAAAAAAAAAAAAAAAAAAAGCGGAGAGTGGAAGAAAGGAGAAGCTGTGGTAAGACGCACCCTTCTAGCTACAGCCTTAGTAACACACCTCTAAGCAGCTCCCACCTGAGAGTACAGTCAGCATTACCATGATCCAACTACCTTCCAAAAGCCCAATCTCACATAAGCCTACTGGGAGGCAGATGTGTTTAACCTGATTTGAACATTACACGATTTAAATCTGTATCAAAATGCCATACAGGGGACTACGAGATAGCTCAGTGGACTTAAGCCACTGCCTCAGGCAAGCGTATGCAAGCACAGGGATCCATGGTTTGATCCCCAATTCCTGGCACCACATAATGCACCAGCCCTGCCCCCCCGGGCAGGCTGAACCAGCTAGAGTCCAAGCATAGTGGCATACCTGTAATCCCTGAGCTGGGGAGGCTGAAAGCAGGACAACCAAATGTTATTTTAAAATGCCATGCAGTACCCCATTAATATAAAAAGCTTTCATGTTTGTACATATCGATTCTTTTAAAAGATCAGAAAGTCTTCTAGTTGCATCTCCGTGTCCAGTAAAGGCCTCGAGTTGAAGCATCACTTCCAGCATGGCACTGAGGGGAGGTGGGCAGTGGAGTCTTTGAAAGTAAGGGGTTGGTGGGACATCTTTGGGTCCCTCGAGGAAGCCCTCAGCAGGAATAAGGCCACCTCAATCTCTGCTTTCATGCACCTCGTAGAATGTGCTACTACAGGCCCCAAAACAATGGGGTCAACTGATCATGGACAGGAGCCTCAACATGCTAGAAATAACCCTTTTCTCTTTATTAGTTGGTTGTCTCAGGCCTTTACTATAGTAAGGGAATGATAGCCCAATCTTACTAAAATTCATGTTTTGGAGCTTGAAGAGATTGTACGCCACAAAACTATTCAATAAATAATAATACCACTAAGGGATTTATGAAATACCTTCACATATGCATAACCCTATAAATTTCTGGTTTCTTCTAGATAAAAGTCTGGGCTAAAACATGGTATTCGTTGGTCAATTACAGCCTGTGTGAACACAAGCATGCTATTTATCTGTGCAGTCAAACAACAAATCTGTAGCAGGATCTATTGATTCCACATGGCCACACAGGCTCTGAGCAGAACTCCCTGCAACTGAGTACAGGGAGATCAAAGTGAGCCATGAGAGAAGTCCTAGCTTTATCCTCTTGGTTCTGGGACACAACCAGATGTGGTCAGGGTAGACAAGGAACATGGTGTCCAGGGCAAACACAGATGGAGCTAGAGTCTGGTGTCAACAAAAAACAAGATAATGAGGTACAGAGCAGAATACCTGGTAACATATCCATGGGAAAGAACAAGCTTTTGTACATGAAGTTGACTTGAAATGCTAGAGGGAAAGACATATAAAAGTACCAGTAAATAGGTCTAAACCTAATTCTGGAGACCTAAGAAATGTCAGAAATAATGCCTCAGGATCCCTGGCATTTAGTATCATAAAATGTTAGTGGTATTGCTTTACATGTGTATGAGAACTTCTGATATGTTAGCTTTCATTTTCGTTAGGTTCAAAATCTTTTATTACTGCTGTTACTACAGATGCATTAACTTAGGGCAGAGGACTGTGTAAGCCCTCTCACGGTGGAAATTTGAAGTCCTGAGTAAGCATGTGTGGAGGCCGAGCTAGTGGGAGCAGGGGTGTGGCAGACGCTGTGCTCACCTCCTCTGCCTCCCACCAGCACTCCCCCATGGCACCAGCACCCGGCCGCACAGAAGCACTCCCCCACCCCCCGCAGCAAGGCACATGCGCTGTAGTCAGGAGAAGCAGGTTGCCTGCCTCTAGGAAGTTTTCTACTTTGTGGAGTGTGCTGTTTCTTCTCCTGCTAGGAGGAATGCAGATGAGATGGCAGATGGAGCTGGCAGGCGCCATGTGGAAGGAGTCACCTGTTCAGGCAGGCACAGCCTGCTTGAGCAGAGACAGTGTGAGTCCAGGCAGTGGGGACGCTGCCGTCTCAGCCTGCTCACATCCGCGAGAGGCAGAAATGCGCTTCAGTTTTCGTCACTGCACTCACAGGATTACGTCATCTCCATCACCAGCAGCAAAATTTAATTTTAACTATTATGAAGCATCTGAAAAGAGATTCTGCAAGCCAGAGGAGGGGATCTGGAAGCTGGAAGTGACGCCTGGCTCAGCCAAGGCCTCACACAGGGACTCTGAAGCAACAGTGCATGCACACATGCTTGTGCGCACCACTCATGTGTTTGTGCTTGCCTGCAAGTGTGTCCATGTGCGTGTGGAAGGAGGCGGGGAAACGTGGCAGGCACAGAATTCTGTATCTTGTACAGATCATCTCTAAATCCTACAACTTCCTTGAAAGGCACTCCTTTCTTTGTCTGCAGATAAAGTGAAGCTCAGGACTCATTATCGACTTAAGGTGAAAGTCAAGCCCAAGTCTGCCTTGGTGTGTCAGGGACAAAGAGTCATCAACACACAGGTCCTGGGTGACATGTCCACCTGCTGCCACCAACACCAGAGGCTCTGACCATCTCATGGGGCTAAAATGATGGTCCACGGATACTGCTACTGCTACAGAAGGTGAGGTGCTACTACTTCATATCATCAAGTTTAACAGAGTATTGGGAAATATCCCCCAAATGATAATAATTACAATAAATATAAACACTATAAAATCATTGTTATAGGAAGCCACAAAAAATGATAAAGAAGCCTTCACTCTGATGGCAAATAAGATGGGATGTATAGTTCTTAAAATTTTTATCTAGCCACTAAAAAACTGTTATTACAGCAACAACAATCATAACTGATACGAGAAGGTAGAAGGGCATATACCTCCGCGGTCAAGAGTGTGTCTGGACATTTGTTAACTGCCGCAAAAACTCTTCTAAGCCCCGCCTCCAGCTGTGTCAGTAACAACATGGTGCAGTCAGCAAACCTGCAATATTGAAGGAAAACCCAGCAGAAATTTGCATTGTAAAAATAAGTAACAGCATGATCATCACAATGCCTATAGTATGGATACAACAAACATGGTATCAAAAGAAAGAAGTTACACTGCTTGCTAATAGAAAAACAAAATAGAAACACTCAAAAGTCCATAAGAGTAGTAAGTTCAAAAGCATTTTCAATGTTTGATGAACAATTTTTAGTAGCTTCAGTAGAGTAACATATCATCACAGATCTACCTAACTTATTCCATTACTTTTTAAATCTACTTAGAACACCACAATTTCAGTGGGTTGTCAAGGCACAAAAAAGAATGTACCAGGATGAGGTCACCCGAAAAGGAACAAAGACCAACTCCTTTGTCCTCCTGGTCTCTATAGGTCATGCATGTTCTGTTCTTACAGAAGACTTGCTCCCATGGGAGGATGATGACCTAGCATACCTGACTGCATTTCATAATTCACTAATTCTGGATTCAATATTTCTCTTCTAGTAAAAGCTAAAAAAAAAAAAATTCTGAAAAGCATATATTAAAGTCATGGATGGTAGTGCACACCTGTAAACCCAGCACTGTGGGAGGCTGAAGCAGGACTGCAAGGTTGGGCCCAATCTGGGCAACTTAGTGACTTAGAGGGGCCCTGTCTCCAATCCTCAGTGCTTCCAAAAACAATTTTATCAGCTGTACCAACAGGATAGCACCTAATACCTCAAACACAATTATGAGCAGTCTTGTGAATAATCATATGAAGGTATTGTATATTCAGTCTACTTGAGTTAGCCCCATGTTTACTTCTACTTTAACAGCACAAGCACATGAACAGGCTTGGGCACTGAAAAGGCCGGGCCTCCAGCCCCCCTTCTGTTACCTGTGTGCTTTGAACTTTATCAGTGCAATTTCCCAATATGGCAACATGATTTTTAATATAAAGGCAGATTTCATCATCAGTTCTTCTAATACCGAAAGTACCGTATGAGTGATATCTGCAAAATAAGCAAACATCTTTAGCTGTGGCTGTGGCTTTTTGGTTTTTTATTTATTTTTAAACTTAATTTAATTTTTGTTTGTTCATTTTGCTACTGGGGATTGAACTCAGGACCTTGCGCTTGCCAGACAGGCACTTATGCTGCTGAGCTATACCACCAGCCCAAGCAAACATCTTTAAAACAATCATACTCATCAGTGTAACTGAAGAGAGATGCTGTGAGCGAGCAAATCCGGTAGGTAGAAGAACCCTGACCACATGGCAGTGCATTGCTCAAAGAGGAAGACATCTGATGTACAGCCACAGTGCCATGGCCAGGGAGCTGTGGACGGGGACGTGGAACATGGACAACTGCATCTTGGCAGAGACTCAGATAACATCAGCTCTGAGTAGGGTTCAGGGTCAAGCAGCTGAGCACAATGACCAAGAGAAGTATGTTCTCAGAAAATGTAGGCGACCCTTTATATTGGGGCGTGACTGTGAAAACAATGGACCGTAGGAGAAAAACAGGAGAAACAACAGTACCCACCACAAACAGCCCTAAAGGTTTGGAACACCAAAGCCTAGCTCTACCATGATGTGAATTCACGCAGCCATGACTGTCGAGTCCCCACTGCAGTCCCAGAGTGGTGGGAAGGGCTCCTATTTAATGAGTCCCTCAAACGACCTCCAAGCATCTTGCCTTTGTCCACTTCTAGAGCTCAAGTTTTGATGCTACTGGCCAGCTTTACAAATGTCTTCACAAAGATATATTAAGGGAGAAAACATTAAATGTAGTACTTGCCAGGAAAAACAATTAACTCTTCTAAGTTTGTAAGAGTTACAAAAGATCGATGAGCCAATGAGACTTTAGTTTGTTGACAATAACTCTCAAGTAACTGACCCAATCCAGCTGTGAACAACAGCAGCGTTGAACAGTATCTAGGAGAAAAGACCACAGACATGTGTTAGAATAATGAACACAATAACACATACAAAAGGCTTTAAATTAAGAAAACAATGCACTATTAAATTGTAGAAAATTCTCCATAAATGAAGAACTACTGTGGCTGAAAGGGACAGTCATATCTCAGAACTCCTGAGATTTCTGCCAGGCCAACACCTGGCCACTGTCTTCTCAAAGGCCACTGAGGTATAACATATTGAAACCACACCGTCCCCACTCTGGCAACTCTGCAATTAACAAGGCAAAAGGACTACAGGTTTGAGTGTAGCCTGGGCATCTTAGTGACTTAAGAGAGACCAGTATCAATAAATACAGAGACAGACAGATAACACGCATAAGCAAACCATTTCTCTGCTTTTCAAAAAATACATCCTTCCCTTTGATGAAACTCAAGATAAACTCATAGATAGCTCAGAAAAGGAAACTCAACAGCTTACTTTGGAGGAATTTCTTGAGGTGATGCAAACCCATGCCATAGAATATTCCTCAGGTTGAGTCCACGGGGCGAGCCAATGAAGACCTTGAGCACATCCATCTAACCCCGGGGAACAGTAAATCACTGAGCGGTTCCATAACTATTGCATTGTTGAAAAAAACAGTACAATACTGAGACAACATTTGCTTTCTCCCTTAGAGCTAACAGAGCCAACGGTTTTGGCTGGCAGAAAGTAGTAATAATAAGAGTGAGTTTCTGATGATAGTTTCTTATCTTTAAATAACAAATCTGGCTGCTCACTAGTTTGGCCAGCACAGCTTTCTGCATGAGGCTGCCCTGGCTTCCTTGTCAGCCTTCAGCCGCCCACCTGCTTCAGCTGCCCATCAGTTCCCCACTACTCTTATGTGTCTAGTCAGTGTGGTGGACAGGCCTGTAATCTCAGTACTCTGGGAAGCTGAATAGGAGGGTCAGTAATTCAAGTCATCTTGGCAATTTAGCATGGCCTTGTTTCAAAATTTAAAAAATGAAGGGCCAGGAGATAGCTCAGCAGCCTAAATGCCTACTTAGGCAAGTGCAGCGACTAGACTTGATCCCTAGCACCACATGCCACGCTGGCCCTAAACCCAAGTGCGCTGAGCTGGGCACTGAGACCTAGTGTGGTGGTGCACACCTGTAATCCCAGCACTGGGGAGGCTGAAAACAGGAGGATCACTACCAGCCAAGCTGCGAGGGAGACCCTGTACCAAATATATTTTTAAAAAAATTAAAAATGAGCAATGAGTATTAGTAGCTTAATGTGAAGATCCCAGGTTAAATCTCCAGTAATGGGAGGGACAAAAGAAAAAAATTCTGTGTATGTGCCTGCTAGAAGACTGAAAAGGTATCTATCACTACCATTTCTAGTCACATCTAAGTCTTCA